AGCAGCTTCTCCTTTTTTGAGTAAAGGTGGTAAGGAATATTGTAATTTATACTGCCTGCATTATGCACTTTGCTTGCTCCTTCTCGCCCTTATTACCTCTTCAGACTTCAATCTGTGCTGCCAAAGACCAAATATTTTCTGCATAAACATTAAATAAAGGAAAAACATTATCATAACTCAGTCTAGGATGAATTTTGAAGAACGCGGTGGGGAAGGGGTGGTGAACAATCCTGCTAGCAACTTCAAATTTTTTTTGCTTTTATTTTTGCTTCCCCCTACACACTTTTTGCAAGACATATTTTAAAATGTGACATTAATAAAAGCAAAGCTGCAATCTGATGAAGTTTCTTGTGCTAAAAAGCCTTTTAATCCAGGTTATTTTTTGTCTTAAATCAGAAAAATCTATTTTATCAGCAGTAGCAAAGAAGGGCTGTTTGGGGACAGAGACATGATTATCGAAGAGCAGACACTAACAGTGAATATTTCTTCTTTAGAATATTCATAGAATGGTTTGGATTGGAAGGGACCTTAAATATCATCTAGTTCCAACCCCAACACCACAGGCAGGGACACTTTACACTGGATCAGGTTGCTCAAAGCCTCATCCGACCTGGCCTTGAACACTTCCAGGGATGGGGCATCTACAACTTCTCTGAGTAACCCATTCCAGTGCCTCACCACCCTCTGAGTGAAAAATTTCTTCCTTACATCGCCTCTAAATCTACCCACTTTCAGCTTAAAGCCATTGCCCCTTATCGCTACATGCCCTTATATTCTTGCAAATATCAACAAGTGTGATGCGTTCCCTTACCTTGAGTATCTTTCTGGTATTTGGAATAGGAGCAAATCAAATCACTGCAGCTGCGTTCAAGCCTACACACTCAAAATAGGCAACGGGAAAAGTAAAGCATCAATTGTTATAAATAGCAAATGACAACACCATTTGGCGCACTCATGATGTTCTAGTGAAGGGAATACAGTACGTCTTTCGAAAATGAACATTTTGTTACTTTTTCTGGTTATTTCTGGGTTTGTAGAGTTCCTTACTGCTGTGCAAACACTTGGCTTCCTTTATCATTGAATGGGTTCAGCACACACAAAGAACTAAAACGCCTCGTTATCCGCATGCTTCAGCTACAGAAACTTCTGCAGCTTTGGGGGCACCATCAGAGACACATACAAGGACAAAAATGCCTGAAAGCTGATTGCTTTCAGATATTTATTCTTGCACCTCTATGGTGCAGTAGCATCTAGAATGGCTCTGCAGGTGGGCACCTCATCAGAGAATAATTACTCCTCACTCCACAACAGCTTTGGGTGAGAGATTTGGACTTAATTGCAGGCTGAAAAGGAAAGCTGCGTGCTTTCGACTTAAGCACCACTTTGCACCGTAGGTATCGTAAGAAACAGAAAGTCATCAAATGTTGATATACAGCAGCAAGAAGATCTGTGCTTTTTCCTCTCTCACTACCCTTCTGCTCCTGAAAACATCAAATAGGTTCAACCAGAACTAAACAAAAGCAAAGCAAGCTGTCTCTGCTGAACTCGATACTCGGCAACACAAACAGCCCTTGAAACATCCCAAACCAGTGATCAACTACAAGGGTGTTTGATCTTTCAAACTTTACTAACAGATTATGTCATTATCTCCCTTCCTCTCACCTTTTGACCTCTTACTTCCCAAGATTAAGATTTTTTTTCATGGTTTCAAACTGCTTTTGATGCCAAAAATCTAGCCCATGCCTCTGACATCAAATGTGTTTGCTGACTATATGCACACAGTGTGCCTGTGGGTGACTTAAGAAGGCTCTTAGGTATGAAGTTAGTTTGAGAATATTGTATACCCTGCAGATTATCAAGAACAATTTCCAAGGGGGGACATGCAGGGGAAAAAAAAAAAGTGCCTTTAAAAAGCTGTCTGCCCCTGTGATTTTCAGCTCTTTGAAAAAGCAAGAAAGAACAGAAAAGCACCCCTGGTGTGTGCTTAAGATAACTACAAAGGAACTATTCTTACCAGGTTCCCTCAGTAAAATGAAGGGTGCTTTGATTGCATTTTCTGGCCTTGCTAATCTGACAGATATTGATGGATAATTTGGAACAGCCAAAATCTTTGTTCTAAAAACACTGACTCATACATGTTACATCCAGATGTTTTACTGGGTTCTTAACAGATATCAAAGCTTTCTTTAAATACTTGGAAATTGTATTTTATACAGTTGAGAGTGCATGCATGCAGGAGAGGGGAAAAGACAGAGGAGCTCCACTAAGAGCAGTCTAAAAAGGAGTATTTATGCCCCCAACATGGATACTCTAAATATAAAAAAAAGCCCAACACTTTGTTTCTGCCTAATCAAGTCTGAAAATTAATAGCATCAAGATTCTTAATGAGCAATTAGGGCCTTGCAGGCTGGTCTTTCCAACAGGTACAGGAGCTGTGTGTAAACACTCCAGTGCTGATTTCCCCACCACCCCCTGCCTCACGGCTGGGTCAGCAGCAGCCGCCCAGTCTGCTGGAACCAGCCAGCCCCCATCTGGTTGCCCAGGTGGGGACATCTCCATGCCTTCTGTCAGCTGGCCCTTCATCTCTTCCAGAAGTAAAGAGCTCCAGCGTCCACCCCCTCCACTGGGATTCAAGAAAGGATGACATCTTTCATCTGAGACCATGTAGGGGAGGCACCTCACCCCATAAGCAGTTTTGGAGTAGGAGATCATGAATGAAAGCAACGCACACACCGTGCCCAAACCACTACCACTGGAGAGCAGCTGAACAGGCGCATGACTGTCTGAAAAGGAAGAGCCAACTCCATGTGGGAAATAAAGACATGCAGCCAAATCAGACACAGAAGAACACGCACAGAAGCAGCGAGTTGCAGCGTGGGTTTGCGAAACGCAACGCTGTGCAACTCACAGAATTTCTACGTCACTCAAAATGGTTGCCCCAGTCTGTCTCTCACCAGCTCCGGATGGATGAACCTCTAGGTACTGGCTACGCTGCTTTGCAGTCACTGCTGGATAAACTCAATAAGGAAGGTATTCATCCCTTTATAAGGTAAACAGGCAACCAAAACACACCATTTCATCCCAAGATGAGCAATATTCTTCAGCTTGAGGAGCCTTTTAGTAGAGAACCCTAACAGAAAAAGAAAGAAATTACAAACTGCAACATACATGAAACATGAAAAGTATGGGGCACAGACAGAATTTCTGATCTGCCAGGAGTCGGAGCTGAAGATCTGCTGCCAAAGTGCCACTTTTCCATCCCAAGCACGTGGGTGGGATCAGTCACTCACTGACAGAAGCAGGGATGAGGTATTGCAACAGAGAAAAGGATCTCCTGGGCAAGTAGGATCAGGCTATTCCTCTGCGCCTGTTTGCAACAGAGTAAAGAGTTTGTTCCCAAGTCAGTTTTAGACATTCCACTGGCGAGAAAGCTACCCAGTCAAAACACTGACTGCTCTTCTAGTTTAGACTAGTGCGGTCTGGAAACAAAAAAAGGCATCAGCATTACCAGTGCCAGCCTTACCGCGGCTGGCAGCGGCCCAAAGCGTATCCGATGGTTATTTAACACGGAGAGGGAACTGAGTCCCAGCCTCACTCACGGCACAAAGGCAGCCACAGGAACACAGCAGCTGTCATCTCCGCACACAAGACCCCATACTGCAACTTACATGAAAATTCAATTCTCCTTTCAATCTCAGAGGTGTTTTCCATGTTAAATAGAATATAATCATGCAGTTTCACAGGACTTGCTTTTGGGAATCCAAACACAGCAGCATAAGCCTCCTTCCCGCACCATGGATTGCCATCCCTCACAAGTTGCACGCTATGCCGAAGGACAGCTAGGACCAGTCCACCCCCAGCACCCACTGTCAGCAGCCACACAAAGTGAAACAGTCTTTCCTCCTGAGACTGGCTCACAGGGGCGGGAATGCAAGATCCAGGAGCGTTTTCATTAACCATGTGAAGCGCAGCACCGGAACCGAGGCCTCTCTGGGTTGATTTGCCAGCAGAGCTGGAATTCTCTGGAGTTGTTAGAGAAGTGTCATTTACATGAAAGCAAAGATGACAGCTGTGCTTGTAATGACAGATTCTGAAAAAAAGGAACTACTAGAAAAACGTACTCTTTAAAAGACCTTTATTTTGGTTGCACAGTTACGATTCCAAAGTCCAACTATGCTTACGGTTAGATTGTTCCCAAATAATATTTCATAGCTCACCATGTAAACAGTCCATTCTCTATTAGTCTAGTGTACAAGAACTTTATAAAATACAGATTAAGTGACTTTTTCATCTGTACACTTTCAGATTAGTTCACCAAGATCAATTAAAAAGGCAAATAGATTAATTGGCAAAAAAGTGTTGTTACATTTTTAATATATTAGTACAAAATGGCACAAAAGGAAAAAGGTCATTTTAAAGGCTATAAGCATTAAACATCTTAAACAGTTTGAATGAGTTCAACCAATTTCAACTTAATTTTAAATACCACTGTTGAACTTGGAAATGAACTTGTAATCTTCTTTTCTTCAGCTGTACGAAAGACCTCACATACAACTTTAGGTCTGTTCATCGAAACCGAATCACAGCAGTTTCAGAACAGTGACATTCAAGTGCAGTTAGGAAGTTGGGAATTTCTATTCTTCCCGGTAAATCTAAGAATTCATAGACTAGAGCTTATTTTCATCTAGCCAAGCTCATTGATGCACACTTCAGATGCAAAGATATCAGACGTGTGCACATAAAACACGGTATTTCTTAATGCAAAACTGAAGCAAAAAACCCACATAATCACCTACACACCCAACCTACCTACCTTTGTAGGAGGCTTCCAGGCATAACCACACTCAACGCCAGATACAGCGACATATGAAGCTTCTAAAAGACTTCAGGCAAACTGAAGGCTTAATTCAAAGGCTTCAATTATAAAAGAGAGATCACACCAACTTCAGCAAGCTACATTTTATTTTTGAACCACCCATATC